ATCCATCCATCCATCCATCCATCCATCCATCCACCAATTCATCTACCTATCCATCCATTCACTCATCCACCCACCCATCCAGCCAGCCAGCCAGCCAGCCATTATCCATCCATTCCTCTATCCATCTATCCATCCAACCATCCCTTCATCTATTCATTCATCCATCCATCCATTCATTTATCCATCCATCCATCCATTTATTCATCCATCCATCTATACATCCATCTACTCATCCATCCTTTCATCCATCCATTCATCTATCCATCTATCCATCCAACCATCCCTTCATCTATTCATTCATCCATCCATCCATTCATTTATCCATCCATCCATCCATTTATTCATCCATCCATCTATACATCCATCTACTCATCCATCCTTTCATCCATCCATTTATCCATCCATCCATCCATCCATCCATCCATCCATCCATCCATCCATCTCCCAGTTGTCAACTGAGGAGCAAACGCCAAGTGTTGCATTCAACTCCCAGCACAACCTTTGCAGGGGATGATAGGGAAAGAGCATTCAGTACTCAGGGCCTATCTTGCTGAGCTCAGGGGAAGGGCCCTGAGGACCTGACCCAGACTCAGATTCCAGAGGCAGCTTTTCCTTCCCTGCTGAGTCAGAGCTCAGGAGCCTGCTTTGCTGACCCTGGCAGCTCAGCTGACTGAAGGGGTCTAATAACCTGGGAGGGGAAAGGTCAGGAAGCCTTTCCATAAACACTCTGGAAGCCCTCCTTTTGCTTTTGCTCTGGCAAGCCCTGCTGACATAATTATTGGGCGGATGTGACCTGGCCAGACCACAGTCAGATATCCATACACTTTGCCAGAGGACAGAGGTTGCAGGGATGCTTTGATTGCTTCCCCTTCTCTCCCCAGAGCCCTGCGGGCAGGAGGAGGAGTCAGCGGAAATGCCATCACCCTTCTGATAGCAGATAGCAGCCCCGTAGCCTGGTAGAGACACCTTGGGAGTGGGAAGCGGAATGGGTGGGTCCCTGAGGAGATGGTGGAACCTGTCAGACCCCTGGGACATCCTTTACCAAGCTCTGGTGACAGGTCTATTCTTGTCACCCTGGTCCCTCACTTATGGGACTGCTTCCTGGAGGAGATGGCTTTCCTGGTGGAGAAAAAGGAGTATAACATGTCACTGTTGTGCAGCCTCTAACACTCTCAGCAAGAGCATTTGGTGATTATCATTACTTTTAGTATTAGTTATTATTTGAAAGTGCTGCTTTTGTACCAGGCACTTAAAAAAATGTATTCACTCATGTAACTGTTACATCCTTCTGAGGTTGGGACTGTTACTATTCCATTTAATAGATGGGAAAACTGAGGCACTAAAGTCACAAGATTAGTGTTAGAGGTAGTATTTGAACTCAGGAAGTTTGGCTCCAGAGTCTGTTTTTTAACCCCAGTATGCAAGATTATGCAGCCAGATAAGGGGTCACAATCCCTGCCGGATGGTTCCAACGCTGCCCTCTCAGCCACCACCATGGGGCGGCATTATTTTTAGATGAATGAACAAAGGACCAGGTAGCTGTGGGTGGACTGTCCACATTGTCTGTGCCCCTTAGGGGGTGGGGGTGGGGCAGGCTGGAGCAGGTCCTGACTGTGTCCTCTCCCCTTTTCCCTCCCTCTCAGATGTGGACGTCCTCCAGCGGCTGGGCCTCAGCTGGACGAAGGCCGGGAGCCCTGCACCCCCGGGAGTCATTCCTTTCCAGTCTGGCTTCATCTTTACACAGCGGGCCCGGCTCCAGGCTCCCACGGGCTCCGTCATTCCTGCCTCCCTGGGCACAGAGCTGGCGCTGGTGCTGAGCCTCTGCTCCCACCGGGTGAACCATGCCTTCCTCTTCGCTGTCCGCAGCCGGAAACACAAGCTGCAGCTGGGCCTGCAGTTCCTCCCCGGCAAGACGGTCGTCCACCTGGGGTCCCGGCGTTCGGTGGCCTTCGACCTCGACATGCACGACGGGCGCTGGCACCACCTGGCCCTCGAGCTCCGAGGCCGCACAGTCACTCTGGTGACCGCCTGCGGGCAGCGCCGGGTGCCTGTCCTGCTGCCTTTCCACAGGGACCCTGCACTCGACCCCGGGGGCTCCTTCCTCTTTGGGAAGATGAACCCGCATGCAGTCCAGTTTGAAGGTGCTCTGTGCCAGTTCAGTATCTACCCTGTGACGCAGGTCGCTCACAATTACTGTACCCACCTGAGGAAGCAGTGTGGACAGGCTGACACGTACCAGTCCCCACTGGGGCCTCTCTTCTCCCAAGACTCTGGCAGACCTTTCACCTTGCAGTCTGACCTCGCCCTGCTAGGCCTGGAGAACTTGACCACTGCCACACCACTGGGGTCACAGCCAGCAGGCAGGGGACCCAAGGGGACTGTGGTGCCCGCCACTCCCACCAAGCCCCAAAGGACTAGCCCCACAAACCCTCACCAGCATATCGCGGTGCAAGGCCCAGCCCAAACCCCACTGCTACCTGCCAAGCTGTCAGCCAGTAACACACTTGATCCTGTGCTCCCAGCCTCTCTTGGCAGCTCTACCAGAACGCCTCGCCCTGCAGCCGCTCAACCATCACAGAAGATCACAGCCACCAAAATCCCCAAAAGCCTCCCTACCAAGCCTTCAGCCCCTTCTACTTCAATTGTCCCCGTCAAAAGCCCCCATCCTACCCAGAAAACAGCTGCACCTTCATTTACAAAGTCAGCCCCACCCACTCAGAAGCAAGTACCACCTACTTCCCGTCCAGTTCCTGCCAAAGTATCCCGTCCCGCAGAGAAGCCCATCCAGAGGAACCAAGGAATGCCCAGGCCCCCACTGCCCAGCACCCAGCCCCTACCTCCTACCACCAGCTCCTCTAAAAAACCCATTCCCACACTAGCTCAGACTGAGGCCAAGATGACTAACCATGCCAGTAAGCCGGCCTCTGCCCGCACCAGCACCCACAAACCTCCCCCATTTACTGCTTTATCCTCATCTCCTGCCCCTATTCCTGGTTCTACCAGGACGACTCGGCCACCAGCCACAATGGTGCCTCCAACCTCGGGCACCAGCGCTCCCAGAACAGCACCTGCCGTCCCCACTCCTGGCTCAGCTCCCACTGGAAACAAGAAGCCCACTGGATCGGAAGCCTCAAAGAAAGCCGGACCTGAGAGCAGCCCCCGGAAGCCCGTCCCCCTCAGACCTGGGAAGGCAGCCAGGGATGTCCCCTTGAGCGATCTGACAACCAGGCCTAGCCCCAGACAGTCCCAGCCCAGTCAGCAGACCACTTCAGCCCTGGTATTGGCCCCGGCGCAATTCCTGTCCTCCAGCCCCCGGCCCACGAGCAGTGGCTATTCGTTCTTCCACCTGGCAGGATCTACGCCTTTCCCTCTGCTGATGGGGCCTCCGGGGCCCAAGGGAGACTGTGGTTTGCCGGTAAGACTGAGTGGGGTCTGCATGCTGCGTGGAGCTCCAGTGGGGGACTGGGGCATTGGTCAAGTGGTTGCCCTTGGTAAAGAAAGAAAAGGAGCAGCTTAGAGCAGGGAGCTGGTTATGGGCACCTCCTCGGCTCCAGCCAGGACCCTGGCTCCTCTGGCTCTGCTAAATGCATCATTGCTCACTCTGCTCCAGATTCATGATCCACTGGGACAGACTTAAGTCTGGTGGTTAACCCCAGGTGAAGAGCACCCCTGGGCTTTGGTTGGCCCAGGTCCAAGCCCATTCTTTGCTAACCCAGCTGCAAAGGTCGAACAGCTTAAGGAAAGCCCATAGCTGTCTGGCCCCAGATCATGCAGTGAGTAAGCAGCTTCCAAAGCCCCGCTCTCCCAGCTCATGGAGCAGGGGTCCTTCTGGCCATCAGCTTGTCTGAGAGTTGCAGACAAAGGTCACACATGGGGCACTCTGGATATGTTTTGTTTGGCACGTGCAGTGTCCTTTTTTAAAAATCCAATAAGTTACTAACATTTGAAAAATGTGAGAGATTTCTTATAAAAAGACTCAGCAACCAGCTTCTCTTGGAAAGTGGGAGATGCAATGGCGCTTGAGCCACCCCGTTAGAACAAGTCTGTTCTTGTCTGTGCTGGTCCCCACTTCTCCTGACTGAGTCTTCCGATCAGTCCTTTCACCTGTTTATGTTACCTGCCTGCCCAGCGCCTGCAGGGGTTTGATTTGTAACCCCCGGTAGGAGTTTGGGGTGCGGAAGATCAGCGTGGGCCAGAAGGAAGAGGAAGGGAGAAGAAAGAACACGACTTGCAGGATGGTCTCAGGGTCGATATCTCTGGCTTGCCTGGGACCGTCTCCAGGGGCAACGACCTTCCCACAGCTGGAGGCCAATTCCTCTGGGTGGGGAATGATGGGATGGCGTTTCCAGAAGCCTCAGGGCTCTGCTCTGTTCTCCCGCCTTGGAGACGACCACCGTGTGGTGGCCTCTCTCTCTCCTTCCTGAAGCCGGCTCTCCCACTGGGCTCTGTGTTTGAGGTTAGGGCTCCCTGCAATGCGGAGACAGTGGCAGATGCTGGGAATTCCCAGGCCTTCCAAACACACTTAATGAGTTTTAATAATCATTAGGAATAATATTTATCCAGCCTGTCTCCAAGGGGACTGAGAGTCCGCCTTTATTATAACCATATTGTCGAACTTATGGAAACTGTATGCATTGCTTTGCAATTATGTCAACGTTCTGCTCAAGTTCCGTGTTCTGAAATTGGCAGCGTAGAGAGTTGGGAGCCACCACTTTCTTGTGGAAAGAACGAGGAACCCTTTTCACCTCTCCAGCCAACCCAGGCCAACTCTGGCACCAGGTGCCTTGGGGCCCTGACAGCTCAGCTTCCCACGCTGTGTGTGTGCTGGGCTCAATGGTGGTGAGGTCAAAAGGGGAATTGTCCCCTCCTGACAGGACATGGTGAGGTCCATGGTCTCAACTCTGGCCACACAGCACAACCCAGCCGTGAGGAGGAGGCTAGCCCTCCCTCCCAAGAATGTGTGTGGTGTGGAGAGAGGAGGGGAGCTGGCCCAGGGCAGATTCTATAGAATGTTGGGTCTTCTGTATGTCTGAGTCAAATACTTTTTCCTGGGGCTCGGGGCTCTGGGTTAGCAGGAAGTGAGGCCTCCTGCCAAATCTCTTTGAAAAAGAGGAGGCACTGAAGTGAACCTGGTCAGTCAGTGGATGCTTGGGGATGACTTAGTTCAACTTTCCTCATTGGACAGGTGAGAAAATTGCGCTCAGAGAGGGCCAGGACCTGCCCAAGGCCACGCAGCATGGAGGAGGCAGAGCTGAAGTTTACATTCCAGACTCTAGACTCCAAGACTAGCACATTCCATCCCACTGCCCTGAGTGTCCACTCTGAGGCTCTGGGACTCAGATCTGGGGGACTGGGGGCTTCAGACAAGAGTCACTACTGTCCCTGTCCCTGTCCCTGTCCCTGGTCTCAAAGGAAGGACTCAAAATCTAAAGAATCTCTTTCTTTTTTTTTTTTTTTTTAGAGACAGGGTCTCACTCTGTCACCCAGGCTGGTGTGCAGTGGTGTGATCACAAGTCACTGCATTCTTAATCTCCCGGGCTCAATCCATCCTCCTGCCTCAGCCTCCCAGGTAGCTGGGACTACAGGCACATGCCACCATGTCCAGCTATTTTTGTCACTTTTTTGTAGAGTCTGGGTCTCACTATGTTGTCCAGGCTGGTCTTAAACTCCTGGCCTCAAATGATCCTCCTGCCTCAGCCTCTGAGAGCACTAGAATGACAGGCTTAAGCCACTGTGCCTGGCCTAAAGAATCTTCTGATTCGATAACCCATCAAGTTTATGAGCTACTTCCACAGGCACGGTGTCTCCTTTAGGACCTCATGGAAACTGGTTGAGGAGGGCAGTCTGTGTGTGTTCAGCCCTGCCCCACAGATGATCCAACAGGGGTTAGAAAGAGATAAAGGACCCGGCCAGAGGCACCCAGCATGTTCCTGAAGGAGCTGGGATGCGACTTGTGGTCCCTGACTTCTGGCCAGGGCCGAGGCTCTTTCTGCTCCTCCAGCCCTGACTTCTGAGGACAAGGGGAAGACACCAACCTGCCCAGGTGACATCCCTGCCTCAGGCCCCGTGCTATCCCCTGTCCCCACCCTCCCCCAGCTTGGAACATAGCTTACTCCAGGAGGAACCAGGAAGCTGGTAGAATCTTTGTCCACTGTGTAGCAGACGGCAACCTGGTCACTTCTTCACCAGATACCAGAATAATGTAATGGAAGAGGCATCTTTGAATGGTGATAAAATGAACTCTCATTCTTTCTGGCCTCTGCTGTCTTCCCTTGACCTCCATATACATCCAGGATCTAAGCCCAGCAGAGCAGAAGCTCCAGCTGCCCAGGAGAAGAGCTTAATTGTCCCCCATCTGGGGACATGCAGACTTGGGTTCAAATCCTGGCTCCACCCCATTTAGCTTTGTGACTGATCCATGCTGACCCTGTTTCTATAGAACATAAGATGATAATAGCTCCCACTTCTGGTGGGGATGGTGGCCTGAAAATGTGCGTAAATTTTATTTGCATATAAAGCTGTAGTAGAGGCTCAGCGTGGTGGCTTACACCTGTAATCTCAGCACTTTGGGAGGCCAAGGCAGGCGGATCACTTGAGGCCAGGAGTTCATCAACATGGTGAAGCCCTATCTTTACCAAACATACAGAAATTAGCCAGGCATGGTGGCACACATCTGTAATCCTAGTTACTTGGGAGGCTGAGGTAGGAGAATCCCTTGAACTCGGGAAGTGAAGGTTGTAGTGAGCCGAGATCATGCCACTGCACTCCAGCCTGGGCAACAGTGAGACTCTGTCTCAAAAAAAAGCTGGAGTAGAAATGAAGTAAGTTGGGCCATCTTACCTAGGTTTGCTGAGTGAGTTTGGGGAAATTCTTTCCTCTCCCCAGTGCTCAGTCTCCTACTGAAATAAAGTGTTGGGACAGCTCTCCCCTTAGACATGACTGTGGGGCCTTTCAGTGTTTTAGAGAGGTGCAGTGGCTGTGTTTGCATGTGCAAACCTGTTCCTCGGGGTTCAGGGCACGAGAGCAACTGGCAGAGGCTGAGACAGAGTTCTGGGCCCAGGCCTGCCAGGAGTTGTAGCTGCTGAGTGAGGGAGCTCTGTGGGAGCCCCAGGAGGGGGGAGCATGGAAAAACTGAGCTTGGCCCTGGGTGAGTTGGGGCGGGGAGGCCGCGGTTCACAGCGCTGCACAGAAGCTGCACAGAAGCCCCACGCCTGAGAGGAGGCGAGTCAAGGCCTTATTTATTCACGATCAGGCCACTGGCATTTGCCCATGCTTGCACTTTTTGCAAATGTCCCGTCGGGAAGACCCAGCTAAGGGCCTGGCTCACAGCACGTGCTCTGTGACTATCTATCTGTGAAATGAACGAAAGAATTTGATCCTTATGAAATGCAGGTCGTCCTGACTCCCAGACGGGGCTCCTTGAGGTTACCCAGAACTCTGCTGTCAGGGAGATGAGGAGACCATGTGGACTGCAAAAGCACGTAGTCTTAGGATTTGGGATGACCTGGGTTTGAACCATTCCCTTATCCAGCCATCCATTCATTCTTTGCACAATTGTTAGCTGAATGTCCTCTAGATGCCTGGTGCTGTGTGACCTTTGGCAAATCACTTAACCTCTCTAAGCCTCAGTTTCTGCCTCTATAAAATGGGGATACGGTGCCACCTACCTTTCCAGGGTCGTTGCATGGATTCAGTGAGATGCGGGAGGTAAAGCACATATGAAACCTGGGTCCTGGTAGATTGTCGTGGCTGTGATTGTGGACTGATGGTGGGTGTCGACGTGGGGACTTTGGTGCACTGAGAGAACTAGGAGGGTCTGGACATAGTCTCACATTTGCTTGGAGAACTGTGCTATGAAAATATTAACCTGGGGCTAGTAGGTGGAGCAGGGACAGCTTGGGAACCTGAATGGATAAGAGTGTCATGACACATGTCAGCTAGACAGGAGGGGGGTTAGGGGAGGACTGCCCCCATTTTTTTTTAAGCCAGACCAGAAGGTCCCAGGGAAAGGTGTTCCCAGAACTTAGTGAGAATGAAAACCTTGAGCAGGGGTCTCCCCACAGAAGCAGGGGCCATGGGAGAACACAGCTGCAGCCAAATTATAGCACAGCAGAGAGAGCACAGGGAGAGAAATAGCCTGTCCTCCCTTCTGTGCACTCTCTTTCTGGGGTCTCCCATTGGCCAAACCCAGCTGGAAGCTAGAGGTCAAGGAAGGCCAGGGTACAATCTGTAGAAGTCAGCTTCCCAGGGCACAGCATGGATCTGGGGAGTAAATGGAGAAGAACCAGCATGCACATGCCATCTCAGAATATGGGTATTATATTCCCATTTCACAGCTGGACACACTGAGGCCTGGAGGTCCAGGGAGATGAAGTAACTCACTCAAGGCCATACAGAGCTGTATTGATGCCGAGAAGCTCTGTTCCAGCAGGTCCTTCCTAGGACAGAGGCTGGGGAAGTCTGGGTGCCCTGTGGGAATTCTTAGGAATAATCATTAGCTCAGATAATCAGAGATGGAAGAGCCCTTTGAGGCTCCCTAACTACCCCCAACAGGTTACAGACACAGAGTCCAGGTGTAGAGATCAAAAGGACATTGCTCAGGGTCACATGGTAGTTAGCTGCACACCTAGGTTCGGACTTTGGTCTCCTAAACCCCAGGCCTGTAAAACCTCTCGTTGCTTACTGCCAGGGGCCATGCCAGCTAGCGCTGGTTTCTTTCTGCAGGGCTTGGCAGGCAGAGGCTCTTGTAGCTGGACACAAGGGTGGACTTGTTCCGTAGGATGGGGTTCCCCTAGATCTGGCTGTCAGAGGCCAGGACCCTTGGGGGAAGCCCCGAGGGGTCTGCTTGGCTGTTTCCATGGCTCTGTTTGCATGCGCCTGGAGCCCAGGCCTCCTCCACCTCCCCCAGGCAGGCCTGAGCCCCCGCTCTGCTCCCCCTCAGCTCCGGGCCCTCTCAGAGGCCCTGTTGTTTGCAGCGTGAAGTGGAAAATCCCACCCCGGCCTCGTGAATCATCCCAGAGTCACCCGCTCAGGCTTCAGGCCCTGGAAAGAAATGGCAGCGTTTTTCCACTGCAGAGAGAACAGGCAGGGTCTCGGATCAGGGGAGAGGGGCCGGGGGGCACCCACCCATGCTTGCCACGAACAAAGTGGGCACTGAGTAGGGGAGGGTCCAGCCCATGGCTAGCACTGGGCAGCTGGCAGTCCCCACCCAGGTTGAAGGTCTGGAGTGAAGGGATTGGCCAGGCCCGAAGCTGGGGCCGGCCTGTCAAGGAGTCGGCCCGTGGGCTGACATCACCACGCTGGACCCTGGGTCCTGAGTGGCACTCAGAGTCTGCTCTGCAGATGTGGTGGATGAGGTCAGACTCTATCCTGGATGCCCCTATTTCTGGGGCAGAAGACATGCCAAGAGGGAGTGTCCAGGCCTCTGCAGCTGCAGCCCCACCAGGGTCCGTGAAGGAGCTGCACCCACGGAACCTGTTCCTCCCCAGAGTCCTGGACAAGCCCTTCACCCTGCTGGGTCTTGGCCTTCTCCTCTGTGACATGGGAAGAATCTTGCTTTTCCTCTTGACCTGATACGTAGCAGAGGAAATTACCCCCACCTTGGCCCTCCACAATTCAGGAAATGCCAGTGCCAAGAAGGTTCCCAGATCTTTACTTCACAGATGCCCATAGAAGGGAAGGGACTTACTCAAGGCCACATACCTAGTTAGAGTCACACTTGACCAAGATTGTGTGGCAGCTGCGCAGGGTAGGAGAACAGTTCCAGCGGTCCTGGGTTTGAATCCAGGCTCTGCTTCTTGTTAGCTGTGTGGTACTGGGCAAGTTGCTTTACCTCTCTGAACCTCCCTCTGGCTTCTTATCTGTTGAAATGGTATGGTATCCCTACAGTGTGCTTCATCTCAGCCCCCTGCTTTTTCTTTAATTCTGGGTCCACTTGGGACAGTTGGGTCAAGGAGGGCCTCCTAAGAAGGGACATCTCTTATTGTCCCCTAGAAACAGATGTGAAGGAGGGTGGCTTAAAATTTTGAGTTGAGGACGTTCCAGAAGCTTGCTTAACAGAAATAACAGCTAACATTTTTTTGAGCATTAACTGGGTGCCAGACACCAGGATTAGCACTTGTTATAGATTATATGTCGGCTAGGTGCTATTATTAACCTCATTTTACAGCAATAGAAACAAAGGCTTGGAGCCTGGAAATAGCTTTGCTCAAAGCCACCCAGCTAGTAAGTGGGGGGGTGAGGGTGCCCTACGTGAACCCAGGCCCTTGGCGTTACACCATACTCTATTGCCCAGAGACAGCTGGAGAGGGGAAGTAGGTAAGACTGGCACCCAGAGTCCAGAACCTGCAAAACCAGACAACTCCTCTACCCAGCCATTGAGCTCTGCCGACAGTTTGGCCAGAGGTCCCCAGATGCTCAGAGGTAGCTGGGACTCACCCGAGGTCACAAAACAGTCCCTCCTCTTTCTGCTCAGGGCTGTTGCCCAGTGACCTTGGTACCCATATCTGCCTGTCTGGATCTCTCCTCTGATTTTTATTCATGGACGAGCAAGCACGTGGTGTTCACAGGCCAGAACTGTGAGCCGAGGCTGCCCAGCGTGAGATCTGGATTAATTACCAGCCAAACCGGACTGGGTTTTCAACACCGATTTTAACTCTGGGCAGGAAACCTGGAATCTCGTTGATGGTTATTTGAAACAAATGAATTCCCCAGGCCTCACACATCCTCGAAAGCCTGGCTTCCTTTGAAGGCTTCAGGCACAGTTCTTCACATCAGGCGCTTAGTTAATCCTCATTTACTCCTTCGAGGTAGATGCAGCAGTAGTTGTTGGACTCATCTTAACAGGGAGCATCTGAGACTCAGATAAGTGGGAGGAACTGCAGGAAGTCTGCCGTTATTAAGTGGTAAAGACAGGATTTGAACAAAGACCAGCTCATGGTTTAGTAAGTCTGCTCGGCTGCCTCCCTTCCTGTGTAAAGAGAAAAGAGATGAAGATACACAGATGTTCCTTAAATGCTGAGCTTCAGCGTTAGGTCTTTCACTTGCGGGAAATGGGGAGCTCTTCAATGTTGTTGAGCAGGGGAGGGCTTTTGGAAGGTGAATGAGGCTGTGTAGAGGAGGACTGCAGAAGGGAGGGAGTGGAGGAGAGAGTAGAGGCGGGGAGACCACTGAGGGGGCTGCTGCAGGTTCTTGGGGAGCGGTGATGAAGGCTGGACCATGCTGTGGCCATGGGAACAGATAGCACATTTGAGTGCCGGTTACGTACCAGGCACTGTGCTACACATTTATCATCTCTCATGTCATCCTTGGAATCCCATGGGGAGTGTTTTATTGCCTCCGTTTGTATGGGCATAAGCTGGCTAAAGACTTGCGCATTTTGTCAGTGACAGGCAGGGATCTGAACCCAGGCGCGTCTGATTCAAAAACCTGTGCCATGCTCTGTGTGCTGTGCTGCCTCTTTGTGGGGCAGAGACACTTGGTGTGACCTTGGCCAAGTCCCTTCTCTGTTCTGATTCTGCAGAGAATTTGGCTGAGCTCTGAGGTTTCTGGCTGTTTTATTTTATCAAACGTTTGACTGAGCCCTGGGGATAGAAAGATGACTCATATCCCCTTAGTTCCTTTGAGGAGACCATCATCTGATGGGAGAGACAGGCTTCTAAGCAGATAATTCCCCAAGTAAGATAGTGGTCTTTAAAATAGAGGAAAAGAAGGGACTTTGTCCAACTTGGGGAAGGCTTTCTGGAGGAGGTGACACCCTAAGTTAGCTGGGTGATAAATGATGAGGGCTTCAGTGACTGAATAGTAGCTACCAAAGCCCAGAAGCTCCAAAGAGCATGAGTTTCTCAGGGAAAGGACCTCAGGGGACTCCTCCTCTGAGCCGTGGACTATCCATGCCCACAGCTGCAGGTGGGATTGTTGAATGACTGCTTGAGCCCATTCTCTGCTGCCAGTGAGCACTGTCTAATGCTGTCTGTCTTGTGTTTTCCTTAGGGTCCCCCTGGGCTGCCTGGGCTACCTGGAATCCCTGGTGCACGTGGGCCTCGGGTGAGTTATCTCACGCTGTCCTTTGGAACTCTTGTTGGCTCTTTTGGCCTGCGTCTCACTGCCCCCGAGGTCTCAGGTTTGCTGTGTGTCCTCAGGTTCTTCCCTCCCCATCTCTGGCACCCATATTTTGCTTTATCCATTTGGAGTGGACTTAGGGCTCTCAGGCATGCTATATGGACAGATATGGCATGGAACAGCAATGACCTCTTGTAGGTCTCGGTTGTCCATTGGGGATATCACCCTTTGCAGCCTGGGGTGGGGAAGGTGGGGAAGCCTGAAGATCACATCCCCTCGGTTGATGGGCTTCAGTGTTTGTCCAGGAAAAAAGGTGACTTGGGGAATATATGGCCCTTGCATCCCTCTTCCTGTTTCTGAGGGCTCTCCTGGGGTAGGGATGCGGACATAGGTACCTGGAGGGGCCGTGCCAGGGAGGAGTTGAGTTCCTCCTGCTGGAGAGAGGCCGGGCTTGGCAGGCTGCAGTGGCTCGCTGAGCTAGCCCAAGCCCCAGAGGGAAAATAAAATAGCTCCTATGTGATGTCCTGGCACCTTCTTTTATGCTGCCTTATTTGACCTCTCACGCCCACCCCAAGCTCCCATGGGACAGTGTGATCATTCTCATTTTAGAGATGAGGAAACTGAGTAGGAAACGGCAAAACCAGGACTGGAACCCAGGCTCTTACCCATATGCTGGAACCCTTGGAGATCCCCTTAGAGGGAGACCTACCTGCTTCCCTTAGAGGGCTGAGACCAACAGCACCCGGCATCTGTGCCCAGGCTGAATCAGCCTTTCCCACGCTGGGTGCCTGGTGAGGCCCTGGCAGAGATAGCTGCCTGGGGCATATTTTTAGCTCTGAGCCCAGCGAATGGTTCTGGTTATGCAATTACCCAAGCCTTAGTTCCCTCCAGACCTGGCCCTCTGCTCCCTGGGCCCAGGGCTCTGGAATCTGCCATCTGAAGCGGCATTTCTTCCTGGCTTCAGAGCCTTCATGAAGCACATGCCCCCTGGGGACCACATAGATATCGCAGAGGCTGCTAGCCCATGGGACCGTGCAGCCTGGGACCAGGATGAGGCCGTTGACCTAGGCAGCCTACTCCCTTCCCCAACCTCCTGAGCCCCCCAGCCTCTGCGGTTTTGCTCTGGCTGTCCTCCTTTGTAAACTCCTCCTCCATTCATGTCTAAGAGCAAACACCACCTTTATTTCTGGTGACCACTCCCTTCTTGGAACTCGCGCGGTGGTTCCCCTGTTCCCTTTGCCTCTGGATGGCGTGGCCCATTTTCTCACAGCTCTCATTGACCACTGAACTCCGTTTGCTGAGCCACATGTGCAGGATCTCATTCCACCTTTCCAGCCATCCTGAGAAATAGGTTTCAATCTATTCCCATTTTACAGACGAGGAAACCGAGGCTCAGAAAGGTTTAGTTACTTCAGATAAAGTTAAAGAGAGTAAATGGCAGAGCCAGGATTGAACCCGGGTAGTCTGCCTCCAGAGCCTACCATTTTTTTTTTTTTTTTTTTTTTTGCCAGAGTCTTGCTCTGTCTCCCAGGCTGGAGTGCAATGGAGCAATCTGGGCTCACTGCAACCTCCACCTCCCAGGCTCAAGTGATTCTCCTGCCTCAGCCTCGCAAGTGGCTGGGATTACAAGCACATGCCCCCACACCCAGCTAATTTTTGTATTTTTAGTAGAGATGGGGTTTCACCATGTTGGCCAAGCTGTTCTCAAACTCCTGACCTCAAGTGATCCACCTACCTCAGCTTCCCAAAGTGCTGGGATTACAAGTGTGAGCCACTGCACCTGGCCCAGAGCCTACCATCTTAAGCATCTATTGTGCTTATTTTTCTGGGTACTCACCTGAGCCTCTTCAGAGATATAGGCCTTGGTTACCTCTCTGTCCTACATGATGCCTAGCAGAGTGCCCTGCGTGCAGCAGGTGCTGGGCAAATGATTGGTGAAGAGTTTTAATCTAAGAGTCAAGAATATTTCCACCAAGAAGTTGTGGAATCTTAGGCAAGTCCCTTCCCTCCTCCTAGCCTCAGTTTCCCCATCTGTAAAGCCTGGGGTCATGGTAAGGCGTTTCTAAGTTTCCACCTAGCTCTGGGTGAATGACTTTCCTGACACGCTTCTAGGCTCTTTCCCTGCAAGCCACCCCAGCCCCGCCGCCCGCCACCGTACCATCATCCTGTTTCTAGACTGGAAATTCCATGTATTATAAAATTCCAAAGATAATAGAATGCTGGATTAAACAATCCCAGCTCCTGTCTGCACAGATGGGGGCTCTGGAGGGGCTTAAGGAGGGGCATTCTTACCTGAGGTCGCCCAAAACTCTGTGTCTTGCCCCTTCCTACCTCCACATATTCCCCCAGCCCATGGAGGGATGTCGGGGAATCCCAGAGCCTCCCCCACCTGGCTTTCTAGGCTGCAGCATTTATAGAATCAGTCTGCTTGGCTTTCAGTCAACTATGTGCCTCGTTTCTCTGCAAGGCTGGAGAGGGGTGGGGACGGTGGGGGGGCAGGGAAACAGGAAGCCCCCACCTTCAGAAGCTGCAGATGGGGGAGCTGAGTGCTCTGGCCCACCATCTATGGGGCAGCTGGGGGCATGACTGGGGAGAGGCAGCCACCCCTGACCTTGTGCAGCCCACGCCTGGCTCTGGTGGAACTGGGTGTCACGAACCCCTCCTTCAACACCCCCTCCCAAACTCTGTCCAGTTCCCACTGAGCTTGTGGTTAGACCTGGTTAGACCCCACGAGCCTGGGCTGGGGTGAACATCGGGGGGTGTTCCAGATTCCTTAGAGACTGCTGGGTCCCAGTCATTTACAGAACAGAGGGCGAGACCGAGGCTGGGGATTGCGAAGTGGGGCTCAGAACTGGGACCCAGTCTCGATGCTTCCAGGTTCTGTCGCGTGCCAGGAGACAGTGTTTGGTGGACTGCAGGGGAGGGCAGGAGGGCTGATTATTTTGGAAGGAGGGTCACAAGTGGCACTGAGAAACTCCCCAGGCTCAGTGTGCTCTGGACACTGTTCCTTCCCGGTGCATTCGGAGAAGGGGAGGGTCCCAGTTCAGGCATCAAGGAAGAGAGGAAGAGGGAGGTGCCTTGGTTGGAATGTGACAGGCTGCAGCTGGGAAGCTGGCCTCAGAGAGGGAAGAAGAAAGCAGTTCACACACAGTTAGCCCGATCAATCAAGAGGGGCAGGGACGAGGGCAGTGTGCCTAGAGGCTGACTGGGCGGGGAGGACCACTGGACCCTTTGGGGTGCTTCTCCTCACCTCCTATGCCCCAGATTATTCCTGCTAGACAAAAACCCTCAAGTATTACCCGACTCTTAGGGCTCTATTTATATTACTGGGCTGGAAGACTCTAGGCCAGGGCTCTTGCTGGAGAAAGTGGACGTAACAGGACCCAGCTGTTACAGAGGAACCTGGATATGGACTGGGAAAATCCAGCACCATGAATAAACTCTGCACTTGAAACCACCAGGCCCTGGACCCTGATCTCACTTGGCCACAACTCTGCTGTATGACCTTGACCAAGCCTTCTGGACTCTCTGGGTCCAGTGTTCCCAGGTGCTCTGTGGTCTCTGGAAGACCTTGAAAGCTTGGAGCTTGCAGGGGTTTAAGGGTCTGATCACACGTTGTAGCCATGGGAGAGGTGCACCTTTGTTCACAAGAGGTCAAATGCATCCTTCTTGAGCTCTCAACTCCAAAGACTCATACAGAAGTCCAGCTGGGGCCAGCTGCCATGGCTCATGCCTGTAATCCCAGCACTTCAAGAGGCCAAGGCAGGAGGATTGCTTCAGGCCAGGAGTTCGAGACCAGCCTGGGCAATGTAGCAAGACTCCATCTCTACAAAAAAAAAATTAAAAATTAACCAAGTATGGTGGCCCATGCTGGGAGTCCCAACTACTCAGGAGGCTAAGGCGGGAGGATCTCTTGAGCCCAGGAGTTTGAGCCTGCAGTTAGCTATGATCATACCACTATACTCTAGCCTAAGCCACAAAGCAAGACCCTGCCTCTAAAAAATAAAAGTCCACTTGAAGCTGGAGGAGCCCCAGAGGGTTCCCTGGAGGAGATGGCACTTTGAGCCAGGCATGAAGGATGGATCAGGTTTTAAGCAGAGGAGATGGATGAGAAAAGATGTTGCCAGATGAGGGAACATCATGGGCAAAGGCAATGAGGAGAGAAAGTACCAGATACATGGGAGGGAAGTGCATAGCTAAGAGTGGTTTGAGCCTGAAGAAGCTGGGAAGGGCTGACGGGGCCAGGCTGAGAGAGTGTGGAGAGGAGGTAAAATTTAGGGGTGAAGGACTTGTGCTCTGATATCAAGGTCCAGCTCTGCCTCTTAGCAGCTGGGTGATCTGAGACAGTTACAAACCTCTGTGAACATCAGCATCCTTGTCTTCAAAATAGTAATAACAATATGACCTACCTTCCCGGTTAATAGGATCAAATGAGATGGCACATGGGATGTGCTTCCCACGGGGCCAGGCACGGAGGGGGTGCTCCCAAAAGTAGGCTGAGTGGCCACGACAGTGTTGCTAGGGCTTGGTTTGGGGAGAAGATAATAAACCAGTGGGTGTAGGGAAGGTGCCAGGCATTGCAGTCAGAGGTGAGATGGCCCCTGTTTTTTGTCACCTTATTTGTTTTTGTTTCTTTTCTCTTTCAGGGTCCTCCTGGGCCTTATGGAAATCCAGGTCTCCCCGGCCCTCCTGGAGCCAAAGTGAGTATTTGCTGGAGATGTAGCCACGGAGTGGGTGCTGGGGTTGGAGCCATATTTGCGGTGCTTCCCAGGGGCGCCTGGTGGGTGCTGGGGTTGGAGCCATGTTTGAAGTGCTTCCCAGGGGCGCCTGGTGGGAGGGCTTCAGGGGCACTGAGGGGGATTCCCACCCAAGCCAGGATCACCCTCTGGACCCCTTTCCAGGGCTGGGCCCTGTGCCTGGTCTGGTGACACAGTGCTTCCAGCTGGGAGAGACTTGGGGGAGTCACGCAGTTGGAACCCAGAGCCTTCAGGGCAGTGGGCAGAGGGGTGATTTCTTGCTAAATAGGGAAGGCTGGCCTTGAATGTCAGACTAAGAACATAAGGCTTACCATGTTGTAAGATTCATCCTGGGGAGGGATGTGGAAAGATCACGTTTTAGAAAGCTCACTAGATGCCATGAGGATGAAGCGGGAGTGGGGAACCAGAGCCAAGGCCAGGAGACCAGGGGTGATACAGGGGAGGAAGGAGGCTAGTCCGGCCAACTTAGGGGTGTGGGAGGAGGTAGGGTGGAAAGGATGGTGGTGGGTGCAAGCTGAGAGACAGTTACAAACACCAGACAGTTTTTACCTCCCTGATGTTAGCCTTGGGGACTGAACTGGGTCCCAGGAGGGGGCTCAGATGATGTTGCATGTGGAAACATGTAGCCCGGTCAAGTGATCATTTATGGACAGATATTACGGAACTCAGGATTGCTCTGAGCTGGAGATAGAGCCAGGGGGAGGCTGGCGCAGAAATGCCACTTCCCCCAGGGAGTCTTCTTGGAATACTCGAGTTCACCTTTAACGAGACCTTAGTGGCTGATGCTTTGATGATATGGGAACAGCACTTGCTGAGCTCTTCAGTCTGTTCCTGGAGCTCTGGCAGAGGGCAAGGTTGTTGGGGCACTGCATTGGAAGTGAGAAACTCAGAGCACCAAGGGGAGTGCCAGAGCCAGCAACATTTAGGCCATGGGAAAAGAAAGCTTGCGGAATGGCTGGAGAGATAAGAGGAGGGGAAGGAAGATGCTAAAGTCTCTGAAGCTAAGAGAGCAGTGCCTGTGCCAAAGGAGCTGTGGAGGGCAGACGGGCTCCTGGCTCAGGGGCCTCCCAACCCAGCCTGTGTTATCTGTGGGGTAACCAGGTGAAGTGCACCCCTGGGCTTTGGTTGGGCCAGGTCCAGGGCCATTCTTTGATAACCCAGCTGCAAAGGTTAAATGGCTTAAGGAAAGCCCTTAACTGATTGGCTCCAGGCCACGCACAGTGAGCTGCTGAGCAGCCGCTAAAGCCCAGCTCTCCTGAGTCACGGAGTAGGACTCCTTCTGGCCCATCAGCTTGCCTGGGAGCTTTGGACAGAGGTCTCATGTGGTAGTCCTGGGCGTATGGATCTGTGGTGCCAGAGTCTTGGGACAGAGCAGAGTGCAGGAGCACTGACCTCAGCCCCTCTAGATCTGTGACTCTAAGTCCAGGGCTGGGCTGGGTTCCTTTTTGGAAGGCAGGCAGTGGAGGCCTCAGGTGTCCAGTGCTTAGCAGCTGCCTGGAGGTGCTCTGGGCTTTCACAGGGCGAACACTGGTTATAGTACCAGCCACATACTGAACCCTTCCTGTGTGCCAGGCTCTGTGCATACATTTGATGTGGCTGGTCTCATTTGATCCCCACAAAGACCTAAAAAGATGGGTGGAGATACCGTACCCATTTACAGATGGGGAAACTGAGGCACGGGTCGATGAAGACATTGTCTAGGAAATGGCAGCGGAAGCTGCTCCCACGGGTCAGGCAGAGAGGCAGGAACTCATCTGGAGACTTCTGCTTTGCAGAGGCCATGGGTACATCAAGATGCCGAGCATCCGCAGCTGTTTTGAGTGGCCAGGCTTGCCCCTCCCTAGCCTGCTCTGGGACCAGTGGAGCCTGTCTCCTTCCACCCCCAGACTCACTCCCTGCTCCTGTGGTAGCAGATGCTCCATCAGCTCCTCCTGCTGGCCCTGCTCAGGGCACTGTGGGACCTCAGTGCCAGCACCATGGTAGCCCACCCCAATCTTGCTAACAGATGTGCCGTGGTAGGAGGAGGGCCTGCCAGCTGTTTCTCCTCGCATTCTGAGACACATCTCTGAGTGTGGCCACTGAGGCTTCTCCCTAGCAAGTGAGTTCTCCTGCCGCCACATGGGACTGGGAACCACGGACTCAGGGCCTCACGGACAGGACTCCCATTTACATCTGTGTATAGCAGACAAGGGTGTAGGTTCTATAAAATACACTGGAATCAGAGACTGCTTCTCTCATTGGGACTTGCATAAAATGCCAGGGGGAAACATCTTGCCCTTTGCCTGGACACTTGGCCCTGACACCAAGGGTGAACAGAGGGGGCCTCCAGGGAGGCTGGTTAGGTGGGAGGCCCAGGTAACTGGGCCAGGGCCCTAGGCTGATCTGTGGCATGGGCAGGAAAAGGTTAAAGCAGAGGCCCTCCCTGGATGGGAGTAATGACTTGGCTGAGATTGGATGAGAAAGCTGTGTGTCTGCATGAATGGGTGGGACCCTGGGAAGAGGGTCCTAGGGTCCTCACTGTTCAGCAGATCCCCTTTGGGATGGGAGGTGACCTGGTGGGACTGTAGGGCTGGCTTCCCCCAAGGCCTGCACTGGCCCTTGATGCTGAGCATCAGCAGCTGTTTTGAATGGCCAGGCTTGCCCCTGCCTAGCCCGCTCTGGGACCAGTGGAGCCTGTCTCCTCCCCGCGCCAGACTCACTCCCTGCTCCTGTGGTAGCAGACACTCCATCAGCTCCTCCTGCTGGCCCTGCTCAGAGCACTGTGGAACCTCAGTGCATGGTGTCTGGGGCCACCCATCCATTCATCCTCCTTCAGTCAACAAACGTGTATTGAGCACCCACTATGGGCTGTTGACAGATAAATCAGTCACACCCGGCAGGGCTTGCCCTGGGGGCACAGAACTGGATTAGCCCCATGCAGTCATCCCTTCAGTGCATCTCCGCCTTCAGGTGCTTATGGCCTAGTGGGAAGATGATCCCTCTGCTACACTGAAGGGTGGGAGAGATGGGTGGTTTGAGGAAGACCAAGAAAGAGAGAAACCTGAGGTGAGGGACCTCATCCCTCCTGAGAGTGCAGAAGAGTGAAAGTTCAGAGGGCCAAGGGACCTTGCCTGGATCATGGCTGGGCAGTGGGGGGACTGTATTTCAGATCCTTGGGTTTGCCTGCGAGAAGGAGCTTTGTCAGGGTGTCACAGCTGGTACAGGCCAGAGCCAGGCTACATCCCATCTTCCTCCTCCAGAGCCCAAGGCTCTGCCCATCTACTATCTACCCACATATCCCATGTTCCAATCCAGCAGCAAAGGGAGCTCGTCAGCTCCAGCACAGAGTTGGATCCAGGACTTTGAGAATGAGGCAGAGAAGCTAGGACCCTGAGAAGATGTGTTTCCGCTTAGAGCGGTGCTGACCCGTGGCAGGTGCTGCAGAAGGGGCAGCTGTCGGCATGTGTGAGGCACTGGGGCTGTCAGGGACACAGGCAGGCATGGTCCCTGCCCTTGGGGAGTGTAGAGGTGAGCAAGAAAGAAAAACAAGCCAACCATGTTGACAAGTGCAGACTTACACCATGATTAGGTCTCTAGGGCTCCACGTGAGAGGCCCAGGGTGCTCAGAGACCCCACGATATACGGATTGATCCTGTCCAGGAGGTGAGGGACACCTTCTCAGAGGGCAGGAAGGTTGAACCAAGGTCTGAAGTATAGTGGACACCTAGGCAAAGGGGCTGGAGGAGGCTGGCGAGGGCAACAGGCCTGGCAGTTGGTGGTACGATTTTTGGACTTTATCCAAAGAGCAGCTGGAAGACCTGAAAAGGATTTCAGCAGAATTGACATGACCGGATGAGGTTTGCAAATGTCATTTAGGCCATTTGAGAAGCAGAGCTTGGCTGGTGGCCAGTAGGAGGGTTGGAGCTGCCCCGGGGCAGGGTGCTGATGCTGGACCATGGTGGAGTCAGGCGGGATGCAGGTCCTTGGTGCAAATGAGGAGCTCTAGGGCAGAGGTGGGGGTCTCTTTCTGGAGAGGGAAGCTAGTGCTCCCCACCAGTACTCCCTGCACTGGGCCATGAGGCTCCTGGTCCCACTCTTGGGCAGCTAGCCACCTTGTCTCTGGTCTGGTCCACTTGGTCTGCAGTGAACTAGCCAGGATGACTATGGCCCTTGGACACTGGGAAAGAGAAGTGGTCAGCAGAGGGCAGGCTCCATGGCCCAGGTGGCTGCTGGCAGACCTGATGTGAACTTTACCTTTCCTCTTCCTCTAATGTTCCTTCCTTTGGACCAGGCCCTGTGCTGGGCATTTGAGATCAGACATGGAATATACAGGGGGCTTCCAGCCCAGACTATTATAATCCTTTGTGATTTAGTGCCCATTTGTCTCATCCCCTCTCTGGGCCTCAGCCACCCAAGGAAAATGTGGAGAAGTTCAGAAGATATCAAGACGAAAGTGAGCTACCTGTAGTGGTCCTGCCCAGTAATAAGCTCTGAGAGCATTTTGAGCAACCTTTGGGCCAGGCCCTGGCCAAGAGCTTTATATACTTTGCAGAGCAGGTATTATTACCCCCATTTTACAGATGAGGAAATAGGTCCAAGGCGGCCAAGTATCTTGCCCAGAGTCACATTTCTGGTAAGTGGCAGAGCAAGCATTCAAACCCTCAGCTGTCTGACCTCAAGGTGACAATGTAGCCCTAACTCCACAGCTCTCTGGTCTTCCCTGTGTGTGTCATATATATGAGTGTGGATTCACTTTGTTGTGGCTGGGTATCTGGCCTTCCTCACTTAACAATTATTGTGAACATTCTCCTGTGTTAGCCAATTGGCATCCATCACATATGATTTAATGGCTTCATGGCATTCTATCAACACTAATATCCCATGCTTTATATAACTTACTCCATTTGTAAAAAAAATCAGTTTCACTTTGAATTAATATACAAATATTATCTTGATTAACATGA